CAAGGCTGGGGACTGGGCACTCCCTCGCCGGGACTCGACTCCCCCTCCTGCCGCGATGCCGGGACGGGGCTGACCGAAAGCGGGTGACGGAGCCCACAGCCGGAGCTGGGATGGGGGGGTTCGGGTCCTGCCGGTGTCCGCCCTGGGGTCCCGGGCGGTGCCGCCTCTCCCCCGTGGGGCGGATCGGGATCGGGATCGGTACCGGGCCCGGGATGGCCGCGGGAGGGCGGTGCCGGCTGCGGGAGCGCTGCGGGTCCCGCTGCGGACGCGGCGTCCCTGCCTGGGCAGGGCCGGTCCCGCAGCCCCGGAGCGCTCCCGGCCTGGCCCACCCGCTCCGCCGGCCCCGAGGCCGCGGCGGGGCCCGAGCCGAGTTCGGTGCCGCCGCTCCCTCTCCGGCTGCTGCCGTGGCGGGCCCGGGAACCCGCCGGGGATCCGGACTCGCTCCCGGCCCGGCTGCGGGGAGCCGGGGCTCTGCCGGGGCCCGGGAGAACGGCGGCAGCGCTGTTTGCCCGGTGCCTCCCGTGGTCTGGGCGCCAGAGCTGCCGCCTGTCTTGTCTGTCTGTCTGTCCGTGTGCCCGTCCGTGGGCGGCCCCACGAGCACTCCTGGCCCAGGAGCCGCTCCTGAACGAGCCGAGCTCGGGCTGGCCCCAGCTCTGCCTTCAACCTTTCCTGCCCTTCGCGCCTTTGGCACTTGGGGAATTTCAACCAGCGACTCTTTCCCTGCCGCCGGTAAGGGGCAGCTCATCTGCCAGCTGCCAGCTGGGACCTGATCCTCCCCTTCCTCTCCCTCAATTTCTCTGCGACTCACACTCTCCCACGGCAAAACTTGTTTTTTTAAATCCCCTTAAAATATTTCACCTTTATTTCCAGTCGGGGAAGGTCCTGCCTGGGACAGAAATGGCTGAAAAAGAGCAAACTTTAAAATGCCCAAAGCAGATGCTGCCACGTGAGTCAAAGCAGGGAAAGCCTCGGGATGTGGAAGGTTTGTTTTATTGTCACTCCCTCCTGTGCCGGGTGCCCCTCTGAAACCTCTGCCCAGGGCCAGCGCCACCCTCATCTCCCCCGAGGGACCCCACGGTGTCCCCAGGATGTTTCCAGAATTGTCTCTGGGGCCCCAGTCCCCCCACAGCCTTCAGTGGCTTGGTCCTGGGGACTTGTTACAGGACAGCAGCAGTTGCACATGAAACTCCTTCCCACTGAGAAATGAGAGGGATCTGTGATAAAAAACCCTTTTTATTTAATTTAACATTTAATATTACGCTTTTTTTGAAGAATAAGACCAGCAATTTCTCTACAGCAGTCGAGCAGCTTCAATTTCCATTCCATCTATATGACACAGCATTTAATTCCACCTCCTGATTTGATCTTGGCAAAAGGAAGAATCACCTGCGCTCAGTGTAAATATTTAGTACATGAAATACTGTCAAGAACCCCCCATTTAATAAATATCTGCAGTTCTCACTCCTCTACACAAGCACTTGACAGCGACGTGCCGGGGAGAGCGCGGCCGGCTGGGCTGGGACAGGGCGGGGAGGGACATAAATTAATTATTGCAGTCGGATGCGCCGTGGCCGGGGAGGGTTGGAGTTGATCCACGCTGGAAATACAAATCTCTCTCACACCTTGGAATCCACGCTTCCCCTCGGGAAACAATCCTCTGTTTGGGGTGCTGTGGGCGCCCGTTGTGTCTCCGGGATGCTGGCTGGGCACGGACGCAGGGAGGACTGGGAACCAGAACCTGCTTGGACTGGGAGCAGGACAGCGCTTGCAGCACCTACAGGGTCTGCACAGAGTATCACGCTGATGAAACCCAGAACGCTCCCAACCCTTTCCCAGTGCCAGCAATGAAATTCCTGCACAAATGGAAGTCCACTTTTTATGCCAGCGCTGCTTTGAACACCAGCCCTTGGAATGTGCATAGGACAGAGCTCGATGGCTCATTCCTGGCAATGGAACAATACAGGTGAACAGCTGTGGGCAGCACAAAACTCTACAATAATGCTGATTTCCTGCATTTACCCAGCAGCTGCAATTATTTACCCTGTGCTCGATGCCTGTTTGCAGGGAGGCACCAGTCCTGAGGGTTCATTCGGTCTGTGGCGAGTGTTTCATCGAGTGTCCACAGCTGGTCCTGCCTGCAGTGTTGTGTTTCCTACAGCGGGGGTGTTGAGAGCCCAAAGCCACAGGGGGTGCCGAGGTTAGGGCCAACTTTTGTGCCCAGAGCTGGACGGAGCCCTCAGCGACTCCCACTCACTGCCAGGAAGGTTCCTTCAGTGCTTCCTCTGCGTGTCCCAGCCGGCCAGGGAATGAGGGGCGAGAGGAGGCCGGGAGCACCAGAAAGTGAACCAGCACTTCTTGTCCTTTGTATTTACAGGGGACAAGCCGTGCCCTGCAGTGCCCTGCCCGGGGCACGCAGCGCACTCCGCAGCCGCACCCTCCCTGCGCCCCCACACTGCTCCTCGGGCTCCCCTGGCCGCGGGGCCGGGCTGGCACAGACTGCAGCGCCGCTTTCCCGGGAAAGGCTCTGCCGGGCGGCCCTGCGAGCCCCGGCCCCAGCTCCACAGCTCCGCCCCGGTTCCGTGCCCGCGCTGGGACAGCCTGCGCTGCCCCACGCCTCCAGCCAAGCCCCCGCTGCCCGCTCCGGAGTCGGGCCCGCAGCGCCCTCCCCCTCCCCAGGGCTCTCCCCGGGCCCCGCTCACCTTCAGCGCGGCTGCACCCACAGCAACCGCTCGGCTCCTCCATGGTCTCGACCGCGCGCCGGGGCCCCACCCGGGCGGGACCGGCGCGGCCGCCTCAGGATCGGAGTCCCGAGCACCGACGCATGCCCCAAACCGAGTACCGACGCCACCGCGCATGCGCCAAACCTGGGCGCCGTCCCGCCCTCCGGCACCACGTGACGCTGCCGGCTCCGCCCCGCCCTCAACGGCCGCGTGACCGCTCGGCGTCGCCGTGGCCAGTGCGCATGCGCAGTGCCCGCTGCAGCGGCGGCCCGCGGGCGGCAGGCGGCGGTAGCGAACCGGGCCCCGGCGTTCCCCCCGGCCCAGAGACACCCCGGGAAACGCCAGAGCACCGGCAGCACGGCCCGGAGCGCCCCCAACACCGCTGGGAAAAAACTGATTATTCCTCATCTTTTCGGGGATGCCAGGCCAGTGGGAGCGCCTCAGAAATAAGTGTGTGTCGTTCCCCGTCTCCCAGGAAGAGCTTTCCTAGGTAAAAGCACCGGGAAATAGGACTTGGCATAGTGTATTTGTCCCTGCTGTAGGAAAAAGAGCGCAGCAAGGGCACAGCACTCCCTCCTCCAAAGGCAGCTCCTGTCTCTGCCATGTGCTTGTCTCCGTGAAAAATTAAATAAGTGCTCGTAGCCATCTGGAGAATCAATTATCACGAAGGGAAGTAAAGGATAAGATACTGCTGGAAGAGCCTTTGGGATGTGTGGGGCTGAGCTCGGAAGGGGGCAGTCACTCCCAGCAGTGCAAACACACAGCACAGAGCACAGGCTGGCAGGCGGGCTCTGACAGCAGCACTCGGACAAACCTCACTGCTGTGTTTTGTTTCGGTGACTTTGCCCATCAAACGCTGAAGCTGACAGGCCCAAAGTGTCCCCAGCACTGCATCCGGCTGCTGTGGAGCACAAAGGTACTCCCGGGGATGACCACAATGCCAGCAAACCCTCCCGCCCAGCACACAGACACCACTGCAACTCATGTGTGGGGCTGACAACACTGAACAGATTAAACACGGCCCTGATTCTATCCTACAGCACGGTCCCAGAGGTTTTGCTGCCCAGGGCTGAGAGGAATCTGACCCAGTGTTAATAAATAAAGGAAATCCCCCAAGGACTGTATGCAGTCACTTAGAACTTGTCCTCTGGAATCGTGGGTGCCTGTCTGTGGAAGCGTTCCCAGCATCCACGGAGGGTTCAGGGGCTTGGTTGGGTTGTTTATGGCTCATCCTGACTGGTCCAGGCCAAATCCAACCACCCTCACCACTGCTGCACCCCCTGTTTCAGGGATATACTGATACAGTTTCTAAAGACTCCCCTTCCCTGCAACTCAGTCCCTCACCGCACATCCCCCCAGTGAATTTACTCCCTCCTTTCTTCCCAACACCTCTCCAGGACAAATCCCACTGACTGCATTGGCCGTCATAGAGGGAAAACTTTTCAGAGGAGAAAACCTGGAAAGCCAGGAGAATGAGCCCTGCAGCTGCCTGGAGCCCCTCAGGCCAGACTCTTCTCCTGAACAGCAGGGGCTCAGCAGGCAGCAGTGAGACCTGTGCTCAAGTCTGTGAGGCTAACCCTAACCGAGACATTTCAGCCCTGCTTCTTCGCAGAGGCGGGGATCCAGCCCCGTGTCGCTGCACAGAGACACCTAACATCCAAGAAGGTGGAGAAGGTCCAGGGGAAAGCTACACACTGCCTCCCAGTATTCTACAGTGGAACTCTGTGTCTGCCAAGAGAGAAAACAGCGGCCCTCTGGCCCAAAGCACCTCTGCAAGACGTGCAGTGCAGAGCTCCTCTGCAGCTAGCTTCCCAAAAACCCCTCAGGAGGAGCCTCCCTGCGCAAGGAGGAGAGGAGGTTCAGCCCCTGAGAGAGCCCTGTTACACTTAAACCTCAGCTACAAACCCTGAGAAGCACCCTGAGATCAGTCCCTGCCTCTGCTGACCTTGGCCCTGCCCTCACTCCCCTACCGAGCTCCGCCGTGCTGAGGGGTTCCTGCAGAGCAGCCCTACAAATAACATGGGAATAACTGCGGCTGCACAGCGGCCTCCAGCTCACAGGGGAGCAGAGAGGCAGCCCAGGCACCCTCCATCGTGATGTTGGGTTCCTTTAGTCCCTTCTGGGAAATGGAGCTGGAAGCTGCTGTTGTGCAAGAGCCAAGGTGAACACGATTCCTCAGGGGAATGAGGTCTGGCTGCGGGAGCCTCCTTGGGATCAATACTGGCCACTCAAAGGTATCTCCAAAACCATTAAACACAAGTGTGTTTACCAAAGAGGACACAAGACATCACTCACCAGTTAACTTCTCCCTGTTTGGACCCAAGCAACCCCTTCCTGGACAAACGGCCCAAGGCCTGTGTCCCAGGTGTGGACTAGAAGGATCCCATTATTTTCCTTGGACGAGGTTAGACAGGACTTGGAGCAACCTGGTCTAGTGGAAGTTGTCCCTGCTCATGTCAGAGGGGTGGAATGCAGTGATCCTGCAGGTCCTTTTCAAGCAAACCTTTCCAGGATTCTATGATTCTATGAAGAGTCAATTCTGTATATTAAAAAAAAAAAAACCAAAAAAAACAGAAGAGAAAAAAAAAAACAAAAAAAAACAGTTAATGTAAAAAAAGTGCATTAAATAAAAAGAGCTTTTGTCTGAACTAAGAGCTTGAAACAGGATAGCACATGAGGTATTGCAATAGCTGAACTAGGCAGCACATGTGTTCCCACAAATGCTACTAGAGATGTTTGACACGTGCTTTTAAATTATCCCATAATCATCTCACTACACAAAAAAATAAAAAAGGGAAAAATTCCATAGGACAAGGAAGCTGCTCAGTGGCTCTACCGTTCACCAACTATGCTGACAAAGTGCTATAAAAATGTTTTTCAGCTCCTCGTAGCAAGGTCCCCCCCCAAACTACTATTTATGGCAGTTGTTAATTTATTTTCCTCAAGAGGCCAGAAAAGCACACAAGTGAGTGCTTGAAGACGTACACACCAGGGAAACAGAGTGGAGAAAGGGCAAGAACAAAAAAATCAGAGGGAACCTACAGGATAGGGTAATATGTGACTGCAAAGCCCAGAATTCCCGAGGCAGACTCGGTTTTCACAGCAAGCACACGCTGCGACAAGTGCGAGAAGGCAGAGCTCAAAATAAAAGCCTAAAGCCAAAAATTGCACGAGCTCTGCCTGAACCGCCCTTGCCAGGGGCTTTTGGGGAGTGCATCAATACAAAGCTCAAAGTCTTTTTCGAGACAAGTTCAACATCCCGCATGAAGGAGCGGGGACACACTGTAACAACATCCACACTAAAAAATCCCGGGAAAAGGACAGTTCACTTTGTAACACGCTCCCCCCAAAACCACCACCCCTCTTGGGACAGCACCCACAGTGACACGGACTCTCGGACGCTCGGCCTTCATTTGGGGCAGCCCCGCCAGCCCCCCGGAGCCTGAAGCGCTGCCAAACGCACATTTCGGGGCCGTACCTCGGCCAGGATGGCGGAGGAATGCCCTTTCCTCTGGGGAGCCGCCGCTTTTGTTTTTTTTTTCTTTCCTCACCTGCCCGAACGCGCCAGCTCCATACAAAATCCTCTTCCTCCCTCTCCTGCTTAAGGATACTCCTTCCAAGCGTCCGGGAGCGCAGGACACACACAAATCCTTTTGAGGGGCCTGGAGCAAGACACACGCCCCCGGCAGGGGAGACTGAAGGGTGAAAAAGGATGGGAAGGCTTTTTTTCCTCTCAGAATGTCAATGTACGTCTCCCAAACCAGGGAGCGGGGGGACAGAGCCCACTGCACACTCTGCTGTGCTCCCTGCATCCCCTTCCACAGCTCCACGGGGATTTACACCTCCTCTGAAGGCAGCAATTGTCTGGAAAGGAACTTGGGAATCCTGTTTAGCTTCTTTGGTTTCTGGCTTTTTCTCCAGCACCACAGCGGTACCTCTGAGGTGGTTGAAAAGGACAACAGAAAAACAGAAAAAAATACCCACAAAAAATTAATTTAATTTTTAAATTAAAAGAAAATAAAATTACCATGTCCTCAGGCCCTTAGTCCCCCCCTGCTGCTAAGCAAGTCCAGTGAATTCCCTTAAAGAAGGGTGTCCAGCCGGTCCAGGGGGTGTCTGCTGCATTCCCTGACCCTGCTCTCCCTGTCACAGAGGTCTTTGTTTCAGTATCGTGACAATGTTTTAACGATTACTGCAACAGCAAAACATCACTTCCATCCCTCCCACCCCAATAAAAGTTTGCTGTAAGGAAATATGAAACCAGTACCTTTTTTCCTCTGAAGGGATGCAGTGGCAGCATGTTCACTCCTCCTTTGCCTGCCCGGGGAGCTCCACACCCCTGCCCGGGCTGGGGCAGCACCTGCCAAGGTTCTGATTGCCTTGTCTCACCGAGGTGAACCGAGCACTGACCAGTTACATCCACGTGTGCCTCACTGGCAGCACCTGGGTTTTGTCACTCACAGCCAGCCCAGCTGGAAGTGCCGGGAGCACAGGACACCCCAGGGCTCAGGTTGGGGACACACACACATCCCTTCAGTCCCGCTCCACCCCATCACCCACAGGAACCAACCCCACGGGAACACCTGGAGCAGCCCATTTCACAGTGCTCATTTTTCTCCTTCGGGGAGAAGAAGGCACGGACGAGTCAAGAGATCACAGAATCAGGTAATAAAATGAAACACAACTATTTTATTCCAGCGTCCCCATCCATCCCCATCCACGGAGCATGCGTGTCTGGCCAGGGGCTGCCAGAAGGATGGCAAAGGCAAAGAACCACGATTCCAATGGAAACAGCCATTTGTGCCACAATCGGATGCGGAGAGGAGGCGAATTATTGCAGCCGGACGCTGGCAGGGCTCAGGTCCTGAGGGGTTCTGCCCACCTGGGCTCCTATTAAGGCTTCACGGGTGAGGTTCAATGCTACCAGTGCCTGTACGTGCAGCGACAGAGATGAACACCCATCACAAACTCCATGTGCACGACTACTCCACAGGTCACACCACGACAGAGAAACAATTCAGCATCAATTCAACCTGGGCGGGAAAACTCTCCCGGAGGGACAAGCAGCTGTAACAGCATTTATTGCCACATTGCCACGCTCACTGCCAAATAAAAACCTTGCTCCCTGCCTCTGCAAACGTGTTGAGAGTGATAAAATAAATCAGCAGCAAAAACTGTTGGACGAAACCGGTGGGCAGCTGGGGGGCCACAGGCATCCCTGTCCTGTGGGGATGATACCTATGGAGGGGCTCCTCCAGGGAGCGGGAATGCCCCGGCACCAGGGCAGAGGTATTTTAAAGCAGGCATCGAATCCATACTTGGATGGACAGGAAGAGCCTCGCTCCCGCAGCTGGCCAGGGAAGAACGGGAGAGACAGCCAGGAGCGGGGTGCAAACAGGCACCCTCCTCCCCGAGCCTGCGACCCTCACAAAATATGTACACACACGGCTATTATTGCCAATAAAGAGTCTGAAGATCACCTCACGCCACAGATAAGGCGACTGAATTTGCGGGGTTTGGTCTCTCTGTTTTATTTGTGGAAGGGAAGAGCCGGCCTCTGAGAGAAGGGAAAGGGAGAGACCTGGATATACGGTGCCTGAGGTATGGTCGGAGGAAAAAGTGCAGCAAGAAGGAGATGCAAGAAAAACAAAACCGCTTGCCTCTGAACATCTCTCTCGTATGAAAATGATTGTCAAAGGAGTCACTAATGAAAATAAGGTAAGAAAATATGTTTGCTATAGACGTACCGTCCTACTTCTTCCAACAACAGAACACTAACCCGAGGTCGGTCCTTCCAGCGCCTCCAGCTCACCGCTGGAATTCCCTTGGGCAATCCCGAGCTGCTCATCCCAGCCGACGCCTCCGGGGACCGCCCAGCTTGCGTGGGTAGGAGAAGACCTCGAGCCCGGCACGGCCGCCTGGGAGCTGCCCCATGTCCATGTGCAGAGGGGACACGGGGCTCCCGCGGGGTCACCCCCGAAAGCTCCCCGCTGCCCGGTGCCTGCGGCATCCCCGCTGCCCCGGCGCTACCCAAAGCGGAATTTCAGCCGGTACTTGACGGGGCCGGGGTTCTTCCGAGGCGGGGACGGGGCGGCCTTGGGCTTGGGCGGCGGGGGCTTCTTCTCGGGGAGAGCGACGGTGAAGGCGAGCTCGGGGGGCTGCGGCTGCCAGAAGCGGGGCAGGAAATGCGTGGAGACGTGCTGGGGCCGGGCGCGGGGGCTGCAGCCCCGCTTGGCTTTTCCCCGCTTGTTGAGGGCCACGTACCACTGGCGGCCCGAGCGAGGGCTGCGGTGCACGGCCGAGGCGTAGGTGTTGTAGCTGTTCTCCTGGAAGCGCTCCCGGAAATGGCAGTCCACAGTGAAGCGAGCCTGCGGGGACAGAGGGGACACCGCTGGCGAGGGCCAGGTGCTACCTGTCCCCCACCCCAAGGCTTGCTGGTTAGGCTGTTACCCAAAACCAGGCCCCTAAGGAGCGGCTGGAAACGCGGGGCACCGACACCGAGAGTGCCAGGCACCCGACTATTGGAAGAACCCCCAGCGCAGATACTTGGCTAGCTGCTTGCCACCCAGGTTTGGGATCTTTGGGGGATAAAAAAGGCTTGAGCTGCCCCAGTAGTGCCCTTCCCTCCTGTCCCCTCCTACCCCAGCACTGGCCTTATCTCCAAAAAAAAGCATTCCAAAACACAAGAGCAGAGCCTAGCACCCCACCTGTGTGCCCACAGCCCTGGGACCCCTGGCTACAGCTTCCAGCAGCCCTTCCCAAACCCTCTGTCACACTCGAACCTGGTGATGGGCACGGTGCCCTAAAAGCTTCCCCAGCTCAATTTCACAGCAGCACCTCCAAACCACTGACACAGAGGAGATGCTGAGCCCTCCAGCTCCGAAACCAGCGACCGAGAGCAGGACCCAACCCCCGGCAGGGCTTTGTAACAACAAGAAAATTGCTTGAAAGCCCAAATTTAACCAAAGGAGTCAAGCCTTACAGCACAAGTGACAGAGCCCACAACCTGCCACGCACATTTTGTGCCTCACAGCACTTGGAATTAGGTCCTCATCATCTTGTTGCTTCCAAGGGACATCACCTCCTCAACTCGTTTTTGCTCTCCCTGTCTCCCATACACCGTCCCTGCTGCCCCCACCTCGTGCACAGGCCTTCACCTTCCCCAGCAAGGCTTTCCTGACCACTGGTGCTCCCTGAAGCCCAGCAGTGCTCAGGCAGGATGCCCCAGGTGAGGAGGGAAGCCCCTGCCCTGGGAAGTGCATCCACAGCTGCCTCACCATGATCCCATCAGACTTCCCCACATCCCGGCCTCTCAGCTCATCACTGCACTGCTCCAGCCTGGAAAAACCTTTTTTTCCCTGCGCAGGGCAGGCGGGGCAGCCACAGCACATGGCTGGCACCGGATTTTCTATGCAGAGCTCCAGAGACAATCACCAAGAGCGGTCCTGAAGTCAATTAAATTTCAAAATCCGGTCGAGCAGAGATTTGCCCCAGTGAGGAACGCGGCTTTGCGGCAACTCCTGGAAAAGCAGAATTACCTGGGCAAATCTGTCCCACGGGGGTCCCTGCTGGACTGGCACAAAACCCCTCCCACCCGCTCCGTGCTAAAAATGGACAAACAGGAGAGCGAGGATTTATCAACGAGGAAAAAGCCATCTGTGCACACAACTGATAATTGCTGGGATAACTGTCATTTTCTGAAGCTGGTGCCTCTAAAAATGAACCACTCGGTAATTTAATTAAGCTGACATAAAAAAAAAAAAAAAATAAGAAGAAAAGAAAGAGGAGGAGAGTGTCTATAAAGAATCGAGCCAGGATGGAGCTGAGCCCAAGAGCAAGTTCTGAGGGAGCCCAAATTCCTGCAGGAGTGACTTTTGTCTGTGGTTCAGCGCGAAGCCCCCGGCCTGACTCCCATATCAAAGCGCTGCCCTGAGTGACGGGCACAGGACGTGCTTTGTACTGCTCGGAACTCATTAGGCCATGAAATGACTTCAATCCTGCCAGCGCAGGAAAGAGCAGCAGATGCCGGGTTTGCATTATTGGCATTGTTTAGTCCAGCAATCTTTAGACATTTGGGTCAAGTTTCTACAAATTTGCAGCTTTCACCCGAGTGGGGCATCATGTGTCCTCACCCCTGCCCTGACCCTCCTGGCTGAGGTCCCTCTCCGGCCCTGCCCTTTGTGTGTCAACAATTAACCGCGCACCAACGAGGCTTGATTTAATTTCTGCCTGTGCCAGGGCATAAATCAAGGCTTCAGCTTAGATAAGAGGCCCATTGTACACCAGAAGAGAAGGCTCTGGAGGGTCCGGCAAGCACGCTCTGCTTGCTTCCCTCTCCTCTCCGTCCTTTCCCTCTCCTCCTGCTCTGCCCCTCTGCTCTCACCTCCTCTGTTTTCCCCCGTGGAGCCATTATTCCCCTTTTCCCATAGACCCCATTCATGCTCCTACTTCATTTCTTAAAATCAGCAAGCACGTGCTCACCCTTTAAGCATCAATAGGCTTCAGGAGCAGCACTCCCAAAAGACCTAAGGGAGAGAGAGGCGAGTTCACAAACCTCCCTGGAAGCGATCTGTGACCTCGGGGCAGCACCAGCACGTCCCTGCCATCCGCTCTGGGAGCGGGAGGTTTGTCCGGCAGTTTCGGGGTGGGCAGCCGCCTTTTCCCTCTCCCCAGCCGCTAGCCCCGACCGGGCTTCTCTGGGAACCCCCTTCAGGGACAAGGGGCTGCCTTAAAAATGCCCTTGCAAAGGCACCTTGGGTAAGCACAGGAGTACCCCGTGTTTGTTTAAATGATCCCTGGAACTAACAACAAACAGGGAAGCAACATCCCGAGGCTGAAAGAAGCAAGCGAAAGCAACTTGAGGATTCATTCAACACAGGAGGCTGGAAAAAGCATAACGAGACCTGCAGGAAACCTCAGCCTTCAGGAGAACATCCTGCAGAGGAGTTACCAGGGCTGTTCCACTCTAGCTGCAGCACACCTGCGCGGTCTGGAGCTCACCTGCCCCAGCCCCTCCAGGGTTCTGGGTCCCCAAGGGCGAAGCCAGCCCGAGCCCCGGGGCTGCCGGCGCCACGCGTGCTGCTCGCCGGGAGACATTTGGCTAAACCCTTCTGCGGGATCTGCTGCAGGAGCGGCTAAAAATAACCCAGCCGTGCTCCGAGAGCAGCTCTGCTGATGCCGACACCCGGCTGCACGCAGAAAGGCGCGCTCTGCACGCTCCGACGCACTAAGCGCGAAGGTGGGCTCGGGCTTGGGGGGGCTTCAGCTCCACCCGGCCCCGCTCTGGCCGTGCCGGTGCCAGCCCGGGGGGGACACCGTGCCACGGCCCTGCCTGGGACTGTCCCTGTGCCGACACGTGCGGGTGTCACAAAGCCTTTAATAAACAACACGTACTGGTAAGTGGGGGGGGGGGGGGGGGTGTCC